TAAATAAAAAATAAATAAATATAAAATGGACTAAAATTACTACATATATTGAAATAATTATGGTGCAATGTGCATTATGATTAGTATTTGTTGTATTTATATTATATTAATATATCGTTTATACAATTGTTTCATATCTTATGTACTATCAATTTATATTTCGTGTGATGTTAGTAAATGGTGTATATATATACTCTCTCCGTTTCATATAATTTGTCCTTATTTTCTATTTTCGTTCGTCCCACATAATTTGTTCTTATTTTCTATTTTCGTTCGTCCCACATAATTTGTCTTTTTTTTTTTTTTATGAAAATATAATTATACATTTTAATCTTATTTTAAATTTTATAATTTTTTTAATTTTAATTAAATTATTTAATTATCTTAATTTAATTCTATTATTATTTTAATTACTTACTAATTATATTTTACCTAAATATCGATATCTACAAAATAACACGACGGAGGGAGTATAATGTTCGTGTCACTAAATAAACACTTGTTAGTACGTAACAAGCGCGTGTTTTTGCAATTAAATAAAATGATATAAAAGGGATTTAAAATTAAAATAGAGAAATTAAATTAACAATTAATATGGTCAATGCTGACGTGTGTTAACAGCTGCTTGTAATAAATAGCACCAATCATCAAGAAACATGCAAGCTTGTAACTTTAGATTGTGTTATTTTTGGAGTTCCATTTTTTTTAAAATAATAGTTTCTATAAAATATTTTGCAGATACATAATATGTTTTTATAAAAAATAAAAAATAAAAAAATAAAAAATAATTAATTTATTTATTATTAAAAAAAATTGTTAAAAACTTTCAACGTAAATTATTTTTTAGAAGTTTTGATATTTTATAAATATTGAGGAGTAAAGTATTTTACAAGAGAAAATAAATACTGTGATATGATATATTTTTAAAAACTATTTTTTAGTATCAACCTAATTTTTAAATGTATATAAAGAGATATTCCTTAAATTTTATATTTTCTAAAATTTTTACAATTTTTTTACACAATTATTTACTTCCTCCGTCCTTTAACAATCTATTCATTTTTCTATTTTGATTTGTCCCATAACAAATTATCAATTTTTTTTTTTTAAGTAACTGTACTGTCAACCTAACATTACAAATACCCTTCTAATTTACAATATATATTACATAAATGTCATTACATTTATATCATACAATACTAATAGGTTTAATTTAGTATTTTTACTTTATTTCTACTTTATCTCAATATAATACTCATATTTTTAAAATTCCGTGCAAAAAGTAAATGAATATATAAATATGGGACGGAGTGCGTATAATTTTATATTCTACATCTCTAAATAGAACTTATAATAATTAATATCCTAGAGAAAATAATATATATATATATATATATATTAAAATTATATAACCTAAAAAGATTATGTTAACAAAAACATGCAATCCATTTGGGAGGCAGTAGATACATAAAATGAAGGAAGGGGGAGTTGGGATTGAGTTAAGGGAGGAAGAACATAGTACATACATTATATACAAATATATGGACACGTGTCGCAGCGTCATGGCGCCACGAATTAGTTAATTCAGACAAATATTGGCTATTAGCTGTCATTCTTCCCTGATGAAGATGAACTTCGCTCAACATTCTGTTCTCACATCAACAACAATAATAATAATAATAATAAACAGTCGTGCAAAGCAGGCCATGCTTACTTAAATAATAATAATAATAATAATAATAATAATGGTTTGTAATTAATGTAAGAACAATATCTGATTTTTCACAAGTGGGTTTTATGGCTAATAAAAAGAGGACACGTCATGAGAAATAAGAATAACAGCTAAATTCCATTTTTGTAGCAGTAACGAAAGGAGGGATGGATATCTAATCCGAGGATAATATAATATAATGTAATGAAATTAATGGAAAAAGCGTGACAACCGCCGGAATCAACGCTGCCAGAAAATCGCTAAATTGTGCCAAGTTCACTCATCTAAACTCGTGTTTTTAAATCTCATCTCTTCTCTACATACATACAGAGAGAATATATAATACGTCTTCGTTTATATTTAAATAAAAAAATAAAATTAGGGAAATAATTACGATGCTCATCAAGCAAATTAATACTCCCTCCGTACAGAATAAAGTAAATATTTACTTTTGGCGCGATGTTTAAAATATAATAATATTTTAATTATAGTGAGTAGTTAAAAGTAGTGTAACGATATTTTTGCCCTTGTCTTTTGGTATAAAAGTAATGATACGATGTAAAATAAGGGTATTTGTAAAAAAAATAAGGTATTTAATGAAATATTTACTTTGTAATTGGACGTCTCAAAATAAAAATGTGTATACTTTCTAACTGAACGGAAGGAGTATCATGTTAAATTTTCAGTTAACAATTTTTCACTATTTTCCTCCGACTCATTTTTGTTCATCATTTTTGCATATCATATACTTCTTCAATATAATTAAAATGAATCAATTTTGTTTATCATATATTAAATATATATATATATATCAATTTTAGTCTCATTATAAATAATTTTTATCAATTTAAATCATATCGTTCAAAAACTAATAAAAATTGTTGACGTTGACATAATAAAATTGACGTGACAGCCGACATGAACACAACACGGCTCTATACAGTTATAATACACTCATGTTTTCAGACAGCTGTATTTAATTATAAATGGTCGTGTATATATTTACATCCATATACCATGATAGTGTTAGGAAACGGCCGTGTGTGTCAATAAACATGGCCGTGTACATTTCAACTGACTTTCAACATTTTCACGATCAAACACCGCGATGTATATATCAAAATATGGCCGTGTTAAGTCATTTATTCAGTTTTCTCCCTCATAGTTATCACAGTCGTGATTCATTTAATCGCGGCTGTGTTTCTTTCTATTTTGATCTAAAATTTCAATATATATTTTAATCACAGGTGAACTGGACTTCAACTTCTCGAATAAGTGCAATTTAATTTTTAACTACATCAACTATTTTGAATCAATATATTTTTTATAAAAAAACAAAAAAAAATCAAAATTGAAAGAAATTCATTGTGTTAACTACCTGAGAGAAAACTATTGAGATATGTACACAGTGTTTGTTGAAAATCAATTGGGATGTACATGGCAGTGTTCAGTGACACACACGACTGTGTTCTAACACCGTCATGATACATATGGACATAAATATGTACACGGTCGTGTATAATTAAATATGTACACACAGTGTTGTGTCCATATTAGTTGTTACGTCAATTTTGTTACACCCACATCATCAATTTACTTTTGAATGATAAAATCAAAATTGATTGAAATTATTTAAAACAAAACTAAAATTGATAGCGTCTGTTTTATATTGAGAGTAAAATTAATAAATTTCAACTATATTGTAACTACTATTAATTTTTTCTCTAAAATATGTGATACTTTTGAACATATTTTTGGATAACATAATGAATGCGTGAGTATGTAAAAATTAGAATACACTTACATTGTAAGACCTCACAAGTCACATCTATAAAGCATGCGCGAAAAGAAATTTGGAAGTTTTGACGACATATTTTTGAAAGTTTTGAAATTTTGAAAAATTTAAAAGGTTTCTTTGTTCAGTATTTTGATTTTTTTTTATTTTTTTATATATAAATTATTTTTTATACTGTAATATAAAAAAAATATATAACTTTTTTATTTTATATAAATTGAAAATTGTATAACAAAAATAGTAGAAGAACAAATTCAAAAATAATAGAAATTTTAATATTTGATGTAATGTTTATAAAAAAAATATTCAATGTGATATTTTTTAAAAAAATAATAATAATTTCGAAAACCTAAAATTATTGTCTAAAAAAGTAATTTACTATTTTTATACTCTATATAGGTCTCATTTATTTATTTTTTTTATGTTATTTTTATATATTAATTATTATAGCAAAATATAGTATAATTTTTTAAAATAAATTACAAAAATATTTTTATTAGTGTCTTATATACAAATAAAAATATATTTATACAAAAAATTATATAAATATAAAATATTTTTAATGTCAATTATAACGACGCAATGAGAGAGCAATATTTAGAAGTACAACATATTTCATCGGCCTTTATTTTGATATAAATATGTGTTGATACAATGTTTGAATGTAAAATTAATTTTTAGTATAATATAAAAAATAAAAAATAAATGTTTGATTTAATGTTTTTAAAAGAAAAAATAATGAGATAAATAGTGTTTTTAGGAAAGATCTCTGGAACAAACAAATTATTAATTTATTCAGTTTACCACTTTCTTTCTGTTAGAGCATCTCCAACCGACCTCTATTTATGGTGTTTCAACCCTATTTTTGCGGCCATGCTGCTTCAACCATACGCCATTTCCAAATTTAGAGTTTGCTACAGTGCGCCATTTATTTATTTATTTATTTTAAATTTTATTATTTTTTAAAATTATAAATTTAAATTTTATTTTTAATTTTATTTTTAAATTATAAAAATAAAAAGTTGTTTAAGATAATAGAAAAAATTAACTATTTAAAGAATAATAATGAAAATTAAAATTATGATTAAAATAAAATTACGGAAGCAATTGCAAGTTAAGACTAAATAAATGGCATATTTGTAGATAGCCTAGTGACTTCGTTCATCCATGGATGAACTTTGGGATGCACCAGGAACTACTGAATTGAATTCGGCGGTAAGCTTGCTAGGGTTCATACCATACCGACCTCCCTGTTCAGATCGAATCAACAATTTACTCAAAAATTTTCTACCTCGAAGGTGAATTAGCTACCTCGCAGGGTTAATCCGAATATCCTCGAATTAATTATCTCTCTGCACCAATTAGGTTAGGGCATCTGAGGGACAAAGACCGAGTTTATCGCTTACAATGTCTGCTGCAATGGCGGAACGCCATACTTATCCTCACGATCGCAAAGGTCGACTCTCTCTCTCTCTCAGGTACATTTTCTTTATCCCTCCCGCACGAAGCTAGCTAAATAATTCCACGTTCTCCACCATTTTCTTAATCCCTTTTTAACCCTAATCACTCCTTCTCACCAAACTGCACCACATTATTATAATCTGTGGATGAATCATGAATGAATGAATCCGTCGCTATCAAATGATTAGGTGTAGACAGTTAGCAATTTTTATCTAAAATTAGTTTGTGCTTTCGTTCCGTGCACCAAGTGTTTGTTAAAATGCCTCAACAGCATATTATAATGTAGTACTTTTGTTCTTCCCTCCCTCGTGAGTTGTAGTTTGCCTGTTTTTGGCCCCACAGTGGAGACTTGAGTTTGGTAGGAACAAACATCATTTGTATCATTTTGGTATTGCAATTAAATCATTAAACAATTTGCTGAAGTCAATCCTCACTGCTCTAAAGCTCTGGTATAAATGTGATGCTCGATTATGTGTTTTTGTCATCGCAAATATCCGCCATTGTTGAGCTTCTCTTAAGCTTTTTTTGCTCATTTCTGTAAAATATATAGCAACTGTTAATGGAGACTTTTGGTGCATTTCTTGATGAAGAATGGGAATCATTGAGCAAACTGTTTTCCTGTGAGGATTCTGACTTGCTGCTGCATTTAAACGGCGGCCATGGCGGCGATTTGGCTCCGCCTTTCTTCCCAAATGTGGTTGGGGTTGAAGAGAGTTTGGGTTTCCCCTGCGGCGCAAACTTGTATTGTGTGTCGCCGGAGAGTAGCAACAGCAGTGAAGCTGACGGGACTGCGTTTTTTGCGACGAAAAACCACGGGGCGAATATTGGTGTTAATTTTCTTCAAGATGTTGTTACAACTCAAAATGCTTTCGATTTCTGCACCATGGACAGCACTAATGACGGCCTGATGGCGCCGCCGGTGTTTCCCGACGCAGAAATGGAACAGCTCCTCCAATTAAAAGCTAAAATTATTGATAATTGCCAGTTTGGCGACGCTGGAATCGATCTTGGAGAAAATGTCGAGACAATGCAGCTCAAGAGAAAGGTCGAAACATCGAATGTTCAAACTCCCGACAACAACGGATCATTTGATCAAAGTCCCAAGAAAAGAACCCGAGTTTGTAAATACGTGAGTACACGACCCCTCCCTCGACAGAACTCGTAAATTTTAAATAGATACAATAGTATCTCACGAACTGTTTTTTTTTTTTTTTCGATAAATACAGGAACAGAAAAACAAGAGGAACACACAATCATCGAGAAAGAAGAAAGCCGTCAAGAATGACGAAGAAGACAACAATGGCGGAGGAAATGGACAAACCTCGAGCACCTGCAGCTCCGAGGAAGACGAATTCAATGCTTCCCAAGAACTGAATGGCGGGTCGACTTCTGAATCGAAAGGCTCAGCGTCGAACGGGAAATCGAAGGCGAATCGCGGCCCTGCAACCGATCCACAAAGCCTCTACGCAAGGGTAAAAAATCAAATCTTTATTAAACTCCACGACGACAATCGATCATCTCATCCCTATATATAATCCAATCCTCGAACTCTTTTCTATTCTTCAGAAACGACGAGAACGAATCAACGAGAGGCTAAGGATCTTGCAGAATCTCGTCCCCAATGGAACCAAGGTAACCAAAAAAAAAAAAAATGTTGATCTGATCATCATCGACGACCATTTCACCTAAAAACTGAATTTTCCGACTGCCATTGATTGCATCAGGTTGACATCAGCACAATGCTGGAAGAGGCTGTCCACTATGTAAAGTTCTTACAGCTTCAAATCAAGGTATGTTCCTCAACATTGTATCGATCAAAATCACACAACAAATTTAGTAATAAATTAATTAATCATATCTAAAAATTATTTAATTTCTTTATTATTTGCAGCTGTTAAGCTCTGATGATCTGTGGATGTATGCTCCCATTGCTTACAATGGAATGGACATTGGACTTTACCAGAAGATTGCCCCTAATCAAATCAATTAAGCAATTTATTACATTTCTTGAATTCTCTTACAAAAGGGTTTCTTTTTCTTCTCCAAATCGTAGAATGTGTTGAGCCTTTCGAATACTTTATTAATACAGTCCGTACAGAAAAGAAGAAGCTGAATGTGATGAATTGACAGAGCTTGCAAAGCCCTAATTTTTTTGGCCTTGTATAATTACTACTGTTGTTACAGTGTATATTTATTGATTTTTACTATTGGAATAACAGAAAAGAAAAAGAGTATTTATATATTTTTATTTATTTTGCCTTGAGATATTGCTAGCCGACTCCGTGTCTCAAGAAAATTTTCAACTATGGAGTTAGCCCTGGGTGACAAAATTAAGTACGGCCCGAAAGTCCGATTCGAGTACGATACAAAAAAATTGTATTTGGATTTCAAAAATAGGTTTGAAAATTTTAGGGCCGTGCCTAGCTACGCTAATGCTGTGTCCGGGCTCACGAAGGTCGAGTCGTATTTGGCCCGACCCGGCGCGATTTTAATATTTAATAATTTAATTTTTAATAAATTTATATATAGTAATTTTTTAACAAAGGCAAAAATTACAAGATGACTTGATGGTAAAGGTCTTAAAGTTTGTATATGTTTCGTTGTGGTTCACTTCCCTACTTTTATTATTAAAATATATTTTATTCAAAATTAATTTAAAATTAAAAAAAAAATCAAAAAAAAAAAAAAGGCCGGCATGGCACAGCCCAGTTCACCGGGTCGTGCTCGGACCGGTCCTTCCATACCCGATTGCAATTCGGGCTGTGCTGGCCCAGCATGGCTTGAAATCGGTCGGGTCGGTCCAAATTGTCATCTCTAGTTGGCACACAATTGCTTATCTCTACTTAGGATGTGTTTGTTTTTGGGAATTTTTTTTAAAAATTTATTATTCGATCAAATCTTTTAAATTATATTAAAATTAATTTTATATTCAAAATATTAAATCAGTTCTTATTTATGTTACATCATATTATTATTTCAATTCAAAAAATTTATTATTTAAATTCCAACTTAAAATTCAAATTTCCGGACAAACGGATCCATTACTTCATGTTTTACTTTGGAGGATTATCGTAGATTCCTCTAAATTGAGAGGAATATATTTCTTTATAAAATTTTAAACTCAAATTTTGTTTTGTTTTTGTATATTTGATATTTTCAATGGTTTATATTTTATACTCTTTCTAATATATATATTTTTATTTTGTGTTGTTTACTAAGCATAAAAAATAAATACATATTTTTAAAATTAACTGATGGAATATTATTCTATAAATGATAAATTAAATATAAATATTTATATGTAATAAATACTATAATGTTGTACTTCCTCTGTTCCAAATAATTAATTCACTTTAACTGGGGTACACGTTTTAAGTATTATGTAATTAGAAAATAATTAAAAAGTATATTAGTACAAATAATTAAATTATTACAAATTACGATCAAGATAATTGAATAATTTAATTAAAATAAAAAATATAAATTATAAATTTTAAAATGTATAATTATATTTTTAAAAAGATAAATAGGACCAAAGATATGAAAAAAAAAATGTACGAATTAAGTAAGAGAAAAAATAATATTATTTTATAAATGATAAATTAAATTTAAATATTTACATTTTTTATAGTAATAAATCTATATCGTTGTATTAATATTAAAAAATTATACCGTTAAAATATTACTCATTGTCTAAATTCAAATATTTTATTTAGCATTCGTTTATTATATTCAAAAATATTTTTTTATTTTAAAAAAAATAATTATCATTAATTTAAAAAGATACGGCTTAAAATTATACAAAAATTTTAAAAATAAACTAATTATATATAATAAAAATAATTAATTATAAAATTAATACGTAAAAATAATAATAAATTATAACTTCACTAATAAAAAGTGAAAAATTATAAATAAAAGAAAATTTAAATTCAAAAGATAAATTTAATAAAAATATATTAAAGTAATTTCATAAATAAATAAATAAATTTAGTAATAAATATTTCGTATTTATAAACATAAATATTGCAAAGTTATATTATAACAATCTAAAATTTAAAAAGAAATATATAAAAAACTATAAAAATATTCTATATAATAAAAATAGTAAATGTATTGATAAAAAGTAAAAAATTGTAAAACAAAATAAAAAAAAGTCAAAATTCTGAGATTATATTGCAGAAATATTGAAAAAAATAAAATTCACAGTAAAACTCTTATATATATATATATACTGTATAATATAATATTACCTAAGACTCTTATTTACATTTTAATATTTTAAATATTAATTATTTAATATAAATTAAAAAAAATATAAAAATATTTTATAATGAAGAATATTTGTAAAAAAATTATACAAATCTGGATGGTTTTATCTGTTGATTTTGCCTTTAGTTATGGTTACTATCGAAAGTAATACAAATAGGTAGATGTATTGAAGCGAAAAGGGATTTTTCCCGTCAAAGTAAATTGAAGAGTCAGTCTCAAGGGAGAAGAAGGCTTTTAGCTTTCTCCATCACCCACAATTTCTTGAACCCTTTCCCTTCAATATATACCTACGTATACGCAAACGAATCGCTTCCAGTTATACGTATAATATACGCTCGAAACGATTGTTTGTTGAGATGCGGAATCGGTCTGTGAGCCAGAATCGGGGGGATAGCAGAAACCCTTCCCAGTCTCAGAAGTTCATTCCAAAGGGGGATTTGCGTGACCCTAATTCGCAACAAACCCTATCTAATTCCCTTCGCGGAGGCGGAGATGCGGCGTTTGCGTCGACAAGTAGGGTTAGGATGGGAGGCGATGGGGAATGGGTGAGCAAAGCATTTCCTACCGGAAATTTTGTAGTGTACTTGCCGCAGGATGAGGCGGTGGCGGCGGGGCGCGGCGCCGACGAAGGAGCTCTGGATCCTGTCGAATCGCAGCGCGTTGTTGATTTGTTGAATAGGGAATTGTCTCGGTTGCTCAAGCTCCGACCTAAAGCTTTCTGGAAGGAAGGTTGGGATTCTAGGGTTTTTTTTATTTCGATGAATTTGTTGTTTTTTCGATTATGCTTGATTGACTGTTGTTCTACGTCTGGCTTATGTTTAGTTACATTTGTCTTTTAGATTATGTGAGTAATCAGTAGAAGAAGGCCATTGTAGAAACCTTGTGTAGATTTTAGAATCAACATAAATGTTGTGTAGTGTGTGAAGTTTTCTGTAGGAACGTATTGATTTTAGCAAATGCTGTTAATTCATACGATAAAAATTGTTAGTATTATCATTTTGTCGAGTGTTTTATTGTATCATGAAGGTAAGAGTTTATAAAGAGGAGCCATTGTTTACCTGCAACTTTTTCGATTCTTATCTGCAGTGGCTACTGATGAATCATTGAGTGAGTTCCTTAAAAGTTTCCTGAAATTCAGAAGTAGATGGTATGATTTCCCACACCGTGGAACGCAGGGAGTAGTTGCTGGAGTGATTGTTGGCGAGTTTGATCTTTGCCGGAGGGTCTTCATGGTTCTATATCGAATGTAAGCTAAGAGGGACTCTTTTCTTTTATTTTGTATTTTTCATTTTCGTTTAATCTATCAAGAGATACAATCTCTATTGCCACAGATCATCCAACAGAGACCCGGGAGCTAAGGCCTCTGACACATTGAGTCAAAAAGATCATGAAGGTGTGCGTTCTTGCGTGTGATGATCTTTTTATTATTGTCTGCTAGCATTATAATGCTTGTGCGTCCACCCGAAATTGGTATATGCATTTATGTGGTCCCCATTAAGGTGATCTGATACTTTCTTGATCATTTTGTGTTCGTCATAATATTTATGGTTTGTTATTTCTTGGATCTTTTTGGGTTGGTTATAGTATATTTTGTTTGCGATTTTATTTGATAAACTGCGGTATAAAATTTTAAAGTACTAATTCGGATGTGCCCATTTCCATGGAAAAAGGAACATCCAGATAACTTAATCAACACTTTAACAGGCCATTAAAGCCTTACAATTTCTTGTTTAGATATTAATGCAATTTCATGACTATTCTGTCCATGAGTTGTCGAAATGTTGTTACACGAGTTAGTCTTTTTCCCATCTATGTCTGCATCTTAATTGAGGTAAGAAAACGTAATAACTTTTGGCGTGCACTTTTGGTTTTTTCTTTATTCAGTCTGGTTCAGATGGATGATGTTTCTTAAATGGATATTAGATTACGTTAAATCACGCAGAATAAGAGGAATTTTGATCTCCTCTTGATGGGAACCTTCTCTTCGATAGTAATACTTATAAAAAATCTCTGCTTCCGAATGAATATATGTTTGCTTTTAAATAAATGGGATAATTTTGGATTTGGAATTTTCCTGAGAGAATCAAAGGGATGTTTGCCACAAGAAATTATATATTTAGCTTTGTGGCTGCTGTTTTTATTTGATTTCAATACCGGTGGGGAACTACCAAGTTAATATTAATAAAAGTGTCTTTCAACAATTCTGCAAATGCATTTTTTTAATATTTTGTCTATAGCCCTTTTGCAGGACAATAAGTTGCTTGATTTGCCAACACTGTTGGATATATGTGCTATATACGGCCATGAAAACGAAGATTTGACTCATCTATTGGTATGGTTTTTTCACAAATTACAATGGTGCTGAATTTGTATCGTTAGCTACCTTCCGTCATTCCTTATACGATTACTTATATTTCCAGGTGACCACTGCAATGAAGGCACAACCCTATATCAACGATGATTTTCCTGTCCTGATATATCACTTCCTAAGCATTGTTCAGACAATGTATCAGAGATGCAGCTCAAGTTTAGAGGTCCTTTATATATCTATTCTTTCATTTTACCATGGTACTGTTTCTTTGCATTGAATTGTGTGGAATCTTCCGAATTTACCGTGATGGTGGTCTTTTGTATGGTTCCTGTAAGGAACTTGATGTTCATTCAATCTTGCGATATTAGCTGTCTTTTCGTTTTTTAATATCTATCTTAAAACTTATGGTTTGAATTATACGGTTCATTTGTTTTTTATTTGTCAATGTGAGAATATCGGTGAAAGCTAAAAAAAGGCATTTCCTGGACATTATACTCAGGTTTTGCTTAGCTCTGGTAGCCATCAAGACCAGGGATTCAGTAACGTTCATCATGACTATCTAGGGGTACTCTCGCTTTTGTCCAACTGGTTACGATCGTCGCTGAATTCACATATATTATTTACAATTTGTTCCTCTAAAAGCATGCATTTAGTACAAATTATTATAATGGCGCATGGCCTTTTACAAATGTTGGATTCCATAAGATATTTTTTTACCCATCGATGACGTATAGAGTATTCAACCTTAAATCTGGCCTTTTTCTGATTCTGTTCACAGGTTATGGACTTCATAAATGACTCGGTTGTATCATTGGATTCATTTGTTAATGCCTATAAACAAGCAGCTGCTTATTTCTCTTCCCCGGCCGAGATGGGGTATTTCATATGCTCCCCGATTTTGTTTTAACTTTCAAATGATCACTCTATTGATAGACTGTTTTTAATTTTTTTTTACTAGCACACCATTGGGTTAACTAATCACGTCAATTATGAGATATTTTAGTAAGCCATTGAGTCTTCGGTAAACATAAATCGACAGCATTAATTTGGTTGCAACTTACAACTGACACAATTTAAAACCAAATGTTCTTTACTCTTTATTGAGCATCTTTTTCTATCTTGGTGCTGCTAAAAAGTTGTGTAACTCCCATAACTTAGTTCAGTTTTATCCTTGACCGATTTTTTCTCTCTAACTTGTGGAAGAAACCGTGAATTGTGTTATTAGTAGTTAAAACCAATGAACCATGGGGGAACTGGTTGGCGACTTTCATCTGTAAACTGTTGCAATAATTTGCATGATCATTCGTTATCTGTTTTTTTGCCTGTGCAGTTATGGAAATGAAGACGTGCTGACCACACTTGCAAGACTGCATGACTCGCTTTTGCCGTCTTTGCAGAGGGGCTTTCGTGTTATTTTTGGTGTTGAAGATAGAAACAAAGAAACATCAAATGATGCCCTTTCAAATATTGTTATTAGTCTGAAGATGTTTTCGACAAGGATGGCACAACTCGGATGGAGATTACTGTACCTGTGCTATCTAAGCGATGAGGCATTCGAAGGTTGTGATCCTATTCCAGTTTCGACAAACATGTTCCCCGCAAATGTGGAGGATCCTACGGTGAGGGCGGACATTCTAATACAGACAATAAGAGATCTTTCCGGGGATCAGCCGCACGTTCCCGGGGGTACATTTATCCAGAACATCGAGAAAAACCACAAAATACTTAGTAGGATTGAGTTATTGCGAAAAGCAGGTAAGAATTTTGGTCGATTCATGTCTTTCAGCAAATCATAATTGTTCTTTAAGTACTTTTATAGTAGCGGCACTATTATATTCTGAGATTCTTTCAAATTCGAAGATATTCAAATTTATTTAATTTTCGTAGTTGCTGTCTATGAACTCGGGACTAATAGTGTTTTCAAAACTGGATTGAAGGTTGGCTATCAATGGACGACGAACAATGGCAGTTTCTGTCGAAGATTTTGGATAATCCACCGGCAGATGATACCAAAATGAAAACCGCCGCTCGCCCTGCGGCCGGCGGCAGCAGTATGCAAACAGACGAAGATGCGGCTATCATCGAGTCGAAAATCAGTCAAATAAAGGAGCTGTTCCCGGATTACGGCCGAGGTTTCTTATTGGCCTGCCTGGAAGCGTATAACCACGACCCGGAGGACGTGATTCAGAGAATCCTCGAGGGAACTCTTCATACGGAATTGACGTCTCTCGACACTTCTTCGGAAAGCATCCCCTCATCGAAGCCTCCGTCGGTAGCTGCAAACGACAAAGGCAAGGGGAAACTTGTGGAGGCGACAGTTTCTTCAAGCTCATCGTCGTCGTGGGTCGGGAGGTTTGTGCGGAAAAACAACAACGAATTGTCTGATCACGCGACGCTGAATGCGAAGAGGGAAAAGGAATTGGCGAAAACTGCGGCGCTCATATCCCAATTCGAGTACGAGGACGAATACGACGACTCGTTCGACGATTTGGGGTTGAGCGTGGGAGACTCGGGGGTAGACGAACCCGAACGGCAGGACGATAGACGAGGCGCAGAAGCCAACGACAACGGCGGCTCGACTTCCGGCGCCGCCGACGGTTCGAAATGGAATTCGCGGAAGAAGCCGCAGTTCTACGTTAAGGACGGGAAGAACTACAGCTATAAAGTCGACGGGTCCGTTGCAGTGGCGAATGTCAATGAGGCAAGATTGGTTAACCAGGCGCAGAAGGAACTGATCCACGGGCTCGGACGGGGCGGGAATATTCCATTAGGCGCCATTAGAAGATTGGCGGAGTCGGAAGAGGAGCAGAAGGAAAACGACGGACAGGGGGGCGATGAGGTTGGGGGGCGAGGGGGGCGAGGATCATTCAGGGGCCGGGGGAGACGAGGGGGCGCCCCTTCTCGGCCCCCGCAGGAGAAAGATGAGCAGGAAAACGGCGGCGGCCGAGGGGGGCAGGGAAATCACGGCGGCGGAGGGAGGAGGGGGAGAGGAGGAAGACATAATAATAACAACCATAGGAAAGACAGGGCGATGGGTAAGCATTTTTCTGGGATGCCTGGTCATTATGGTGGCACGTGACGTGGAGGTATATGTGTTTATACTTGGATACATATAAATACAGTTTGTTGTTTTTTTGTTTTGGGATATGGAGGAATTGTATTTTCGTCAGCAGTTTTGTATGGTAAGAAGGTTTTCAATTTTTTTATTATTATTATCCTTGAGTGTGTTATGAGTAATTTTTTTTTGAATAACGTGGGTATACGCAGTCGCTATTTGAAAGTGGCGCACTGGGTAAACTCTCGGCCGAACCTAATATCCTGCAAACCAGATCCAATGGGAAAGTCACACTAGGTGAACTATGTGTGCCAGGTGATCTGAAACGTCGAAGGTTTGAGAATCCATGACTTCACGCTGACAAGTTCAACTCCTACGTCACCACCAAAATAAGTTATTCTAACAAGTTTTTCATTTGGTTTGTTTAAATAAGTTATCCTAACAAGTTTTTCATTTGGTTTGTTTTGATTTAATTAGTATTATAAGATATTAATATAATTATTTTTGCAATATTTTCTTAATTAATATTATATTTTAATATAAGAATTAATATTCAAATATCATCGCCACAAAAATAAATGAGATTTTTAAGTAGGAAGAAGGTAGTACAATTTTTTATATCTCATATAAAAAAATATTCATTCAAATTATTTTATGAAACAAATACTCTTGTATCCATTTTTGCATATTTTATCTAATCTGCCTATATAAAAACACACACACATATATATATATATATTGAAATTAGTTATTTAGAAATTAAAATTATATGTATCAATATTTCTATAAAGAATATAATTTTAAAGAGTTTTTCCTCTCCTTCAGATTACACTCAGCTTCAACCAAAACAATACATATATATTTATATGAATTTAATTTATTTTTAAAATAAAATTAACATAAAAATATATCAATATGTATATTATTTTGTAAAAAATTTAAAATTTATATAATACAAAAAAAAAAAAAAAAAAAAAAAGAGAGAGAAACCCAAAATTTTTTTATAATGCATGCTCTGAGGAATAGGATATTGATAGTATTTTTATTTTAGGATTTTAAAAATAGTAGAAAATTTAAAATTAATGCTCCTTTATGCCACATTACCCGGATACATATTGAATTTAATGAATTAATAAGAAAATAGTTAAATAAGTAAAATAATAATAGGAAATTAATTATTATTTATTATCAATAAATTATACATAAATTCAGCATTGCAGAAAAAATAACATAATTATTCCAAACAGAAAAAACATAATATTGGACAGGTTTAGTGGGTTCTTTTGAGCAAGTTTTTTTTAAAATCTGTGTTCTATGAGCTTGAAAATTTTGAAGTATAAACCCCAAGTGGGCCGAGAGCCCATGAGACAGAAATGAAGTACAGAATTGTTGACCAAGCCCATTAAAGGCCCAATTAGTATATAATTGGATCTTCAAACATCGGCCCAGTATTAATTAATTAGTTTATTTATTTATTTATTTATTATACAATCCCATTTTTCATAAAATTTCAGGATGTGTTTTTTTTTTTGGTTTTTCTTCTCAATTTTTTTTTTTTTTTTAACAAATTTTTTGAAAAAATAAATAATCTATTCTTAAAAAATATCATAGTATTAAATACTCCATCCGTCTCTTTTGAAACTGGTTTTATAATAAATTAAGAATAATAGTATTTTATTGGTTAGTAAAAATGTGTGAGAGATTTTGACATTTTTGCAGTTTGAATTTTTTGTATAAATTTATTTATATGTAATGGTTTATTTGTAATTTAAATAAAAATTAAAAATATTTGAATATTAGTGTATAATTACTTTCTTAAAAAAAATAAAAAAAAATGATTACTTAAAAAATAAGACATACGAAAAATGGTAAAAAATATATTGAATTGAGAAAGAAGGAAATACTCCCTCTGTCCGACTCTAAGACATCATTTATAGTCATTGTATTTAAAATTAAAAATATTCTTATATTTATATAATTTTTTATACATATGTTATTATAATTGTATTGTAAAATACTAATAAAAATATTTTTATTATTTTTTTACTATATTTTTGTATAATAATTAATATTCAAATATGTTACAAAACTCGTATTATTTTACGACAAATCAAATGTTGCATTGGTGATTCAGCAAAGAAATATACCCACATTAAAAATGTATATCCTCCCTTCGTCCCGTTGGAAGGATGACATTTGCTTTTTGCACTTAAATTTTTAAATATTAGTATTATATTGGATTATAGTAAAAAAGACAAAAATATTCCTATTAATATGGTGTAATATAAAAATAATGGCATTTGTGTAATATATTATAAGTTGAAAGGGTATTTATTATGTTAAGTAAGTAGTACAATTACTAAATTAGAAAATAATAACTTTATTTTATTTTAAAATAGACAAAAATAAAAAATAATAACATTTCAATGAGACGTAGGTAATATATATATATATGCCCATTTATCTCTAATAAAGTCGTTATATATTCATATTCTATTCAATATATCGATTATTAGTATTAATATTATTTATTAATATTATTATATTAAGAAGAGGAGGCCATGTGATATGTGAGCACACTGAAAGGTATGATGAGATGAATGAGTTGCAGTCAAAGCTTTGGGAATCCAACCTCCTATTTTCTGTCTCCCAAATATTTCTATATATATTTTAATTAATTAATTTTAGGATACTTGGAATGTTTCTTTACCAAAAATTTTTCTTAAGTTTTATTATTTGAATTATGTATTTTCTGAAAAAATTATATTCTCTTCGTCTCGTCGAAAGATTAGTCATTTTTTATTTTCGTCTGTCCCAAAACAAGGTTATCATTTTCTAATTTAATAATTGTATTACCAACCTAACATAATCAATACCCTTCCAACTTACACTATATTATACAAATGTCATTACTTTTATATTACACAATACTAATGGGGGTATTTTTGTCCTTTCTACTATAATCCATTATAATACTAATATTAAAAAATCTACTTGTAAAAAGTAAACGGCAACCTTGTTCCAGGACGGAGGGAATATTTTTTCTTTTTACAAAATATTCCATTAAATATTATTTTCATATCAAATTTAAATCAATTTTTTTAAAAGAAAAAACTCATCAAAAGAAACACAACTGTGTCCGAAAATATTTTTTTTATACAGTAGATATGATAATTTAGATAAAATATAATTAGAGGTTTATAATTAAAATAAATTAATTCTATAAAAAATATGGAGATTTAAATATAAATAAAAATATATATTTTCATGTGGAGAGAAAATAAAAATAAATGAATTTTAGGGTGTGTTTGTTTGGGAGTTTGGATTTTGAGTTGGGATTTGAATATTAAAAATTTTGAATTTGAATAGTTGTATGATGTAATGTTTTGAATGTAAAATTGATTTTTAGTATAATATAAAAAATAAAAAATAGGTGTTTGATTTGATTTTTTTTTTTTTTGAAAAAAAATGGGATGAATAGTAGATTTAAAATCCAATCTCTCAAACAAACACATTGATTTTAAATGAGTTATGATATTATATATTATATAGTTAATTAAATTTATATATATCGTTTAGTATGTTTTAATTTAATAAATTTTCATATAATGAAGTATGATTTTTATTTAAAATGAGATGAGAGTACTTTTATAACAAATCAAAAAGAAAAATAATTATGTATTTGAATGACAAAAAAATATATTATTTATATATTATTAATATTTTAAAATTTATATGCAAAAAAAGTAAACAACTATATATTATGTACAAAGAAAGAATTTTTATATTAGCAACACTTTTTATACTATCTTTATACCATGGCCTTTTTATATTAATAGTTGAATATTAGTTATTATATATTTTTTTTATTTTATATAATTTGTCCATTTTTTTTATTTCAGTCTATCACACATAATTTTTTAAAAAAAATATAATTATACACTTTAATCGTATTTTAAAATTCATAATTTATAATTTTTTCATTTTAATTAAACTATTTAGTCATATTAATTTTAAATTACACGTCTTCCGGTAAAAGTAGTCCGATTTATAATTATTTTTACTAATATACCTTTTAATGATTTACTTATTACATCATATCTAAAATTTCATATCTCAACTAAAATGGACAAATTATATAGGACGAATTGAGTAATACTTGGTACAAATTAGGAAAAAAATATATATACCTTTATTAATTTCTTATAATACAAATACAATTATATTTGTAAATTAAATTATACAAATGTAAATATATTTTTAATGTTAAATATAATAACGTAAAAAATAAATATGTTCTTTATACGGAACAAAAGTAGTATTTAACCTAAAAACAACTAAAAACTAAAGTGTTTGTTTAAAGATTTGAATTTTAAATAACAAAATTTTAAATTTAAATAATTTAAGTTGTTCGTTTTTTATTTTTGCTTGAATGTGTTTTATATTTTAAGTATGATGAATAGTATTAATAATATAAAAAATAATATTTTATATTAAATTATTAATTTTTATAAATAAATAAAAAGTATATTATATATTGTATTTATATATATTGTATTTTTTTGTAATATAAAAAATAAATTTATTTTATTTGATTTCTAAGAATTTTATTTATGAATTAATAAAATTGTGTAAAGAAATTATTTATTATATAGTTATATCGATATGAATAGTTGGTTGGTGTCAAAGTGCAGAGCAGAGTGTGAGAGTGAGTGAGTGGCAGCCAGCCCACAACCACAAGGAGCTTTGAATTTACAGCGGAAGGGTATTCATGTCATTTTATATTATTTATGTGTCAGGAAATTTAAGGAGACTTTTATATCAAAACTACAAAATAATAATAATAATAATAATAATAATATTCTATCAGTCATGCAAATGTATACTCATTACATGTTTTAATAAAAGTGAGTAATAATTGTTATTTTTTTTTATAGTAAAAAAATACAAAAATGTAATAATTTTTTACTTAATAAAAAACGAAAATATTTTTTATGACAATTCAAAAAAAAAAGTGAACTTAGATTTGAATAACAGAGGAAGTATATTTTTTTCATCTCAGCTAATTTGTCCATTTTATTTGGGACATAAAGTTTCATGTATTATGTAATTAATAATTAATTTAAAAGTACTACCTTCATCCGTCTCTAAATGTCTCATTTACTTTTT